GTAAGTGGCAAAATGGGAAAGTGGATTTTTCTTACCTTTTAATCAAATTTTTGCAAAGATGGAAAAGCCATCGTACCATAAGGGGATCATGGCAAAATGGGCTGCTAGATTTTTCTTAAACAAAATTTATCTGCCTGAATGAAATTGTAACTATTTGACTGTCAAAATTTGATTAATTAGAATTAGTGTCAGTCAATGTCAGAAATTATCTTTATTTCATATTTCTAAAATGATAAGGAGCTGAAATCGAAGTCGTATAGTATGCAAGGACTTAAAAATACTATGGTAGCGTATCCATGGCCTAGACTAGGGAGTGTGTTGGTTGTTATGAATTTTAACCTTACTGATTATCAAATTCTCCTACTCCATAAATGATATTACAAAAGAAAATGATTTGATTATATAGTACTATATTATGTAACTGTATTATAAAACTACTAAAATGGTATGAAATATGTACAATGATGAATATTTTGCAATAAGGTCTACAGAATTGTATCAGATATGTTGTTTCAAATAATATACTATAATCTTCAACAGTTGTCAATCTTATTAACGGTGCACTAACTTGACCTTATATTTGCTTACACTCTCTACATGTAAATGCCTCAAAAATAATCACAACAGAATACTCTGCCCCTATCTTCAAATCTCTAATTAAAAGTACATTTGTAACTTTCCTTACACAAGCAAGATAATGCCTAAAATAACAATTATGCAGTTTTCAATCTCACTCTACTTCTTCTCTGGGCCTACATACATATCTGCTACATGTACTTACTGACCTTACAAGATCAAATGGTATGCCATTTATCTTCAACTATGTTCAAATCAGGCTCAAAAGTAACAATGCCTGTTGCACTTCAAATACTAATCATAACCCATTTATTTCACAGGTAGGATGCTATACAGATCCTAAAATAATGCTCAAAAGTGGTGTTTACATGTATCAGAAACAGAAATTGAAGTGGCAGATTGAACTTTAAAATCTATCTAGCTAGAAAATCACATGTTTAACTTAAGCTGCTGAAACTGAAAATATCATTCACATCAAAGTAATCTTACCCTAATAAAACATCCTTTGCTTCATGCAAATGTGTATCCTAAAATAACTGTCCTAACTGGACTTTTAGTCCACCATTTTAAAACAATTTAACCGTACAATTAATGTTCAATCTTATCCTTCATTTTATAATCCGGTCCTCTATTGACCGAACCCCTAAATTCGAGTATTCTAATTGACTACTAACAGACTAAGACCTTGACCTTAGAGCTATAGGATCAACAGGGTCTACAGACTATTCTCAAAGGGAATTGTTTTGCCACCAAATTCAAAAGTTATAAAAAAGTAAAAGTGAACTTTATAAACCTTACAAAATAAACTAAAATGCAATTAATGACCCTTACAAAATATTTGTAATAATGGAAAGTGACCATGAATAATAAAAGTAACAACGAGGGTTGTTACAATATCAAATAGCCCTTTGGTGCCCATAATGGCAATGGTGCATCACTAATTGACGTAAAAAGGAATATATGGTTTCATTTAATTGACTGAAAACACACTTAAAAAACATACCTGCAACCTACTTTTGGATTAAGATATTTTTAGATTTTCTCATTTTCAAAATAATGATTTCTAGAATATTTAGATGAATGACAAAAGTGACAGAAAATGATGAGATGGGCATGATTTCTTAGGAATATTTAGCAGTTTTTGTTAAAGCCCCAATATAATTTCAGGAATGGATATTGAAGGACTTTTTGTTCGAAAAATTGAGAATTTATTATCCTATTGAACGAAGTTTGGAGGGATATAAGGAATGCCTCCGTCCGTCCGTCCGTCAGTCCGGGCAATAACTTAAATACCATTGGCCCGATTTTGTTCATATTTTGTACACATATACCCTATGGGGGTAGAAGTTCTGTTCGAAAGCTGATTTTCAAAATGGCCGCTGATTTTAAAATGGTGGCCATTTTAGTGCAGATTTTACAGTAATTTAGGTGCAATATGTAAAGCTATAATAGCAATATGTTTTAAATGTAAAAAAACTATATAGGTCATTAATAAAACTAGAAATGTAGATATTAAAGAAGCACATGGCAGCCATCTTGAAAAATGGTGGCCATACTCGTTATTTTATAAAAAGAAAAGAAAATTTGTACATAAATCAGGGAGAAATGAACTCATTCATATGGTTCAGAGAAAAGTGCATTTAAAAATTTTAGTTCTCGTAGAAACCAAAGGTACAGTAATATTTAAAACATGATATATTCTTCTTTGTAACCTTGTTAGACAATCAACATTGGGTTTTTAAGTTGAGCATATATACAGTGTCTCAAAAAATGTTACAAGCACTCAATTGTTAATCTTTTTTTTATAATTTTGGAATGTACCCTAAAATATAATTGAATACTTAAAGAGCAAGCTCTCTCTATTAATTTTACACCTGCAGATTTAAAATCATTCCATGGTTGACTACACAGCACAGATTTCATTGACTTGTGTAAAATATGACTTGTGTCAGCTTCTCAGTGGTTAAAAAGAACAAAGGACAAGGAGAACACATTCCTTTGACAATTAATTTTATTCATGATTCTTTTTACTGATTAATTCTGCAATTTTCCTATCTGTACTTTGTAACACGCCCGTTGTGTCTACGCAAACATGTGCTCACCTAAACATGTCCCTACAAGCAGTGATGCTCCTTTTCTTGTCGTACCACTCTGAAATTATCAAATATTCTCAGATAAGCTTCATCCAGATCAGTTGGGAATGTTGTGAAGATCCTGGTTTTCAGGGGGCCCCACAGGAAGAAATCCAAATGGGGTTAAGTTGGGTGAACTTGGGGGCCAATCTGCTCGGATTAAATTTCCAAAGAGTTCTGTCACAGCCCTGCACTTGTGAGGAGTTAAAGTATCGTTTTTTGATTTCCCCACCGGATGTAAGTTTGAGTGGTGCATTGCCACATTCCGACTTCAATTTGTCTGACCAGTCAAAGAATGATCATTTTCACCCATGCCTTTTGGTAACTCGTTTTTGTTATAGTCCACCCGTGTAGGTCAGCGGTAGCGCAGGTACCTCTTACACAATAGGTCCCGGATTTGATCCCCGGTTCAGACAAGACTTAATTTGCTTGTTTGCGTGAAGTACTTCAGGGTGTTTGACTGAGTGGTCCGCAACTCGTACAAAAGGCTGTGTACTTGTCTATGTATAAGTGCACATAAAAGAACACAGGGTTCCTTCAAGGAGGGGTTTCTGGGTCTATCTTCCAGGTTAATTACGTTAATTAAGGGATATACCCTTGAGGTATTGCTCACCTTCATTGGTGGTAAACAACATACAATACAATATACAGGTTTAAATTTGACAAATCAAAATGTGATAATTTTCGCGTATGCTTTATGGTGAGTTGAGACTGAATAAGATGGACTTGTAATGTATATATCATATAGGAATTCCTATTTCATGTTAGGCCAAGAGGTCTCCATACAGTGTAATAGTGACAAATGGTTTGCATTTGAATTTTATATTACATCTGACATCAGGAGATTTTTGACTTATAGCCTTCGTTATGTAACACCTTGTATTTCTGTTCAGAAATACAAGATAATTCTGTTCAGACAGTTAGTTGACTTGATGATGTAAATCTGGAGCCTGGAGGTGTGCAAGGCTGAGAAATATTTACTGGAATCAATAAAAGGAATGTTCGGTATTCCCTCCACCACCTGTTATGGAAGTGTCTTGACAAATGAAGCCTTGTTACTACAATTCAAAGATTGAAAAATACTATCATTGCTGACTTTTTCCTATTTTGTATGTACTTTTAGGTGCACCCCTTACCCTGGCGATGAAAAACTCTGTCTTGTCCTAGAAGTGTCGGAGAAGAACCAGAATCAGCACCATCTGTCTACAGCGATTGTAACAACATATATCATATTGTTATTACTACTTCTGGTGATTTCTTTATGTGTCTGAAGTAGCACTGTCCAGGACAGGAGAGGTCTCTAGGATCCTGTTCAAGTAAGTACAGTGTTCAACTTTTTATACAATTCATACTTATAATCTATCCTTTTGGCAGGAAATTCAACCCTTTTGGCGGGTAATGGAGAATATTCTGCAGTAAACTTTACCTGTTTAGCGGGAAGTGCTATCATGTTGGCGAGAAATGCTATCCCTTTGGTAAGAAATTCTACCTTTTGGCGGGAAACTGTACCTTTTTGGCGGGTAATTGATCACATTCTGGCGGAAAACTTTACCTGTTTAGCGAGAAATCAGTTCAAATCACCTCTATTTGGCGGGTAAAATCATTTGCATTAATTGAATAAAGTGAACCTTATTTCATAAACATTGCCATTCATATCTTATGGGACAAACTCCTCTTGTTTTTATGGAAGAATTCTTTCAATGGATACTGGGTAGAAACCGTCATTGTAATATTTTATGGAGAATTAATTACTAGTAACCCTCATGTTTAAGGGGGAGAATTTCTAGCATTGAAATGGAATTTACTCAATTTTGGATAGTCAAATTGCTCATATTTTCTTGAAAGAAAACCTTTCATTCATTATGTGTAGTCGTTATTGAACACTTAGGGGCAATATCTTGTCATACTCCACAGGATGTATAAATTATTTTCCCAAACTACGTTTTAAGGTTACTCAATAAAAGGGATTTTATATTTCTTTGGTTTTTCGTACAGTTTCCATTTCCGCCATTTTAATAAGCCATCTATTGGGTAAAATATGGGATCATTTCAAGTTCCCGCCATTTTTATTTGTAATTTTGCAAGATAAATTTGGTAAAATTTATATTTCCGCCATTTTTATTAGCCATCTATTGGGTAAATAACTCCACCATTTTGTTGGCCACCTATTGAGAAAACTTCATACTTTTAGAAAACTCCGATGTAACTGCTTATTTTACTTAGTCCATTAAGGATGACAAATACTTAGTTCACGTATGCTCATCCATTAGGGATGAGAAATACTTAGATCATTTATGCTCATCCATTATGGATGAGAAATACTTAGATCATTTATGCTCATCCATTAGGGATGATAAATACTTAGTTCATTTATGCTCATCCATAAAGGATGACAAATACTTAGTCCATTTATGCTCATCCATAAAAGATGACAAATACTTAGTTCATTTATGCACATCCATAAAGGATGACAAATACTTAGTCCATTTATGTTCATCCATAAATGATGACAAATACTTAGTCCATTTATGTTCATCCATAAATGATGACAAATACTTTGTTCATGTATGCTCATCCATAAAGGATGATACATACTTAGTCCATTTATGTTCATCCATAAAGGATGACAAATACTTAGTCCATTTATGTTCATCCATAAAGGATGACAAATACTTAGTCCATTTATGTTCAACCATAAAGGATGACAAATACTTAGTCCATTTATGTTCAACCATAAATGATGACAAATACTTAGTCCATTTATGTTCATCCATAAAGGATGACAAATACATAGTCCATTTATGCTCATCCATAAAGGATGACAAATATTTAGTCCATTTATGTACATCCATAAAGGATGACAAATACTTTGTTCATGTATGCTCATCCATAAAAGGTGACAATGACCTAGTTTATTTACATAAAGGATGACAAATACTTAGTCCATTTATGTTCATCCATAAATGATGACAAATACTTAGTCCATTTATGTTCATCCATAAATGATGACAAATACTTTGTTCATGTATGCTCATCCATAAAGGATGATACATACAGGGTGTCCAAAAAAAAACAGGACCGTAAGAAAGTTGAATAACTCGGTCAATTTTGCATATTTTGCCTTGAAATTTAAGAATTATTTAGTTCATTCAATGTGAATTTTGTTCTGAAAGTTTGATGATAATCTGTTTATTGTGTCAAAAACTACAGTCCTTTACAAAACATGCTCAAAGTGGGCACTTCTCCTCTCTATGCACAAACGAATCCTGCGAACAAAGTTGTTAATGACCCTTACCTATACATATTAATGTGGATGGTAAATATTGGGGTAGTTATTGCCCTCTTAAGATTGTTAGGGGCCTGTCAGTATACACATTGGCTTTGAGAAATCCTCAAAGACAAAAATTTGGGGGATTTAGATCAGGCGAATGAGCTGCCCATATGGTTTGCATTCTGCAACTGATGAGCTGACCACCAAAGCATTGCCTAAACCATTTCAGCATATCATTTGCAGTGTTGGGGTGGTATTGGCTTGTTGAAACCACTGCTTAATTATCTCCTTAGATGTCCCTTCTGGTGCTTAGTGACCTCCAAAACTTGGTGAGAACTTACTGGTCCTTGTTCATGGTGATAGCAAGTCCCCAGTCACCTTCGAACCAAAAGGGACTGATGATTCCATGTTTCCTCATTGCCACCCAGGGAGTGCGTTGTTCAGAATGCAATGGATGCTGTAACACTTCATCAGTAGGATGTAAGCCCCAGTAGCAATTGTTCTTGGAACAAACTTGTCCATTCAGAAAGACATGTGTGTAGGAGGATCATCAACAGGTTTGTTCGCCGGATTGAATTGTGCATAGAGATGAGATTTGCACATTTGGGGCATGTTTTGTAAGGAGCTGTAGTTTTTGACTCAATTTGTAGATTATTATCAAACTTTCACAACAAAATTCACATTGAATGAACTAAATAATTCTGAAATTTCAAGGCAAAATATGCAAAATTGACAGAGTTATTCAACTTTCTTACGGTCCTGTTTTTTTTTGGACACCCTGTACTTAGTCCATTTATGTTCATCCATAAAGGATGACAAATACTTAGTCCATTTATGTTCATCCATAAAGGATGACAAATACTTAGTCCATTTATGTCCAACCATAAAGGATGACAAATACTTAGTCCATTTATGTTCAACCATAAATGATGACAAATACTTAGTCCATTTATGTTCATCCATAAAGGATGACAAATACATAGTCCATTTATGCTCATCCATAAAGGATGACAAATACTTAGTCCATTTATGTACATCCATAAAGGATGACAAATACTTTGTTCATGTATGCTCATCCATAAAAGGTGACAATGACCTAGTTTATTTACATGCCTATATTAATAATTATAATTACTTCGTCAGGTAACATACTCCCACTTAGGATGTCAATTGACTTAAGCTTCAAATATGTATGATTATCATTCCTATAAGCCAATCCATAAAGGATGACTGATTCATATATTGTATTTTACACTTGTTTGATATGATTATTATTGACGATACTTGACACATATATTAGGTATTTCTTTATTAGGTGGCGTCCATAAAGGATAGCCATTTATTAAAACAACATTCATTAATGCGACTGATTGATATATTATAATTAATAAATACATTCTTTTAGATATAAATCCTTGATAGCTCAGAAAAAATAAAATAATCCTATTTTCTCTCTACAGGCCTTGTTGCCCCTTTAAGTGCGCTTGAATGAACTGCTTTTGTTGAATTATGAAAACATATATTCAAGTAATTTGCAATGCATGGGCCCATTTTTCTCTTTCGTGATACCTCGGGGATCACTTGCATTATGCAATGCACTCTCCCGCGGGCAATTCAAAAATTAACCCTATAAAATACACACAAAAATCAACATTATCATTAAAGCTTATATTCGCGAATGCAAATAGCGACTACCAGCTACCAGATTTACCTATTGATTTGCATAAATTAATCCGTCAGTTCGAAGTTGCAATATCGAACAACCCGATTGTCGACTTAGTGATCACATGACTTTTTATGCCATTGTCACATGATCAAACAAACTTAAAATGTGTTATAAGAGGAGCGAAAGGCCCAGAGCTTTAGCGTTGACTGACACATTACGTCTCTTGCGTACGACCTTCGTTTGCGCAAATTCTCACCAGTTAGTTTTCGAATATAAGGCGTCGTTGTGATGTTTTAATCGATTTAAGCATATTCCTTACATCTTTCTTTATCTTGATGTGAAATAACAAGATATGATATCGGTTAACACGCCAGAAATTACTCGAAGCGTTATTAGAAAATTTTGAATCCGCCAATTTTGTTTGTTGATTTTGACCAATCAGAGATGTGGGTCATCTCAATACAGGTTTACATTATAAGTGTATGTCATCTTTGAACTCTGGGGTAAACACTCTGTGTATTGAGTCTAAGCGCATGCGCCAGGTGTACTTCCGCTATTTACAATTTCCGAACACCTCGATAGTCGGTGTTAGTTTCTGCTTTAATACCAGATTAAAACAATATTTAGCTCAGCGGGTTTGGCAACTAATGGGACGCATGTCAGGTACTATTCATATTTAAATGATTTTGCCATCAGATTGCAATCAATCCGTTAGCTGGTAGCCACTATTTTCACCACACTATACATTTGCACGCCCATGTGAATATGGCGTTCTATTTAGTCAACTTATCCAACACAATCATAAACAAAAGATGAAATTAACATAATGAACCTTACATTAACTGAATGTTTCAGAAAGTTTGCCTATTATAGTAACAGTGCATTTATTTAAATATTCAATCAATTTAAACTAATATTAGCATGAAAATCTTGAACCAAGGTTAGGTTTTTTTGCATTCTGGGTAAATTTTGAGGTTGCCATTTTGGATTTTTCATCCTAAAATCTTCTTCTTGGGGACATGTTGTGCATGTTTGTGTTCTTGTTTCCATATATTGTTGCCCAATAAGCTTTAGATTTCTTTTTTTTTGGGTTCAACTGATTGTTTGGAAGCAGTAGAACTGACTGAAAGGTCGTGTTAAGTTTTTTGAATAGAGTGGGAATTTATCCTTAAAGGTTCCACTAACTTGAACTGTATTTTAAAATCAACACTACCCTACCTTGATCGTGCATGCACAAATATTTTGGCTTTCAGCCAGGTCGCTTTTGAGTACAGTATATCAACTGCTTAGTCAAAAGGGTAATACGTTTGGTGCTCGGAATGGGTCAATGTTGTTACTCGCTGAACTTCAGTGGTTCAGTAGTGAAGTCCATGTTCCAAGTTATATGATGGTTGAAGAAAGATTGTAAATAATATCATTTTAAATTTTAAAATATTTGATATGCCATAGTTGTAGAAGTTGATGAGTAAGATGATTATACAGAAATGATTCTCTGGTTTTACACAAAAAACAATTCTGAGATAGTCAATAATATACTAGACTCATGTTTTGTATGTGTGATAGTAAGTTTTTGAACCACTAAATGTAATTGATCTAATCTTAATTTTTAGACGAGTACAATAATGATATACATGTGCCAATCATTATTTCTAATGTGCTTGATATCCTAATCCAGTGGTACATGGAGCTGTATTTGACACTCAAAGCCAGAATATAATGAATTATAGAAGGAATGATATGTTTCATTGGAGTTCATTGATGAAGGAATGCATACAAGGGGCGTCACTAGAATATGTCATTAGAATATTTCAAATGCTGTATATATGGAAATGCTTGCCTAAAACTGCAAAATAACTATACGTGCGGAATATGACATATGTTTGTATTGTGTTTATCGAGTAACCGTTAGCGCTGCCATTTTGAATGTTGACTAGACATAGTGCTTTACAATTAGTGTATTTGTAGGAAGTGGATTCATAATACTATAACTATGCTTACCCTTAAACAAACATAATCCTCTTTGTGACAAAAGGAAAAAATGTTTCACAATATGTCTGGTAGATCACTAGAAATGAATGTAAAATGTATTTTACGTTCAGAAATATGGAATTAAATCCACGTCCTCCATTTGCAACTTCACTGTACCCCGTTTCCCCTTTTAACGTGGTCACGTGGTAGGGTAGTGTGAAATCATCTGAGTTTCTTGCACATCATATTTACATTCAGGTGACAGATAATCTAGACTCAAAATCAACTCCTCCCCAGTCAAACTCAGTCCCAAGTCAACTTTGGTTTGAGTGTTACTGCTTCCAAGCAATCGGTTGAACCTAAAAAGAAGTCATTATGTCATTGCTGACTTTTTCCTATTTTGTATGTACTTCCAGGTGCCCTCTTACCCTGGCCATGAAAAATTCTGTGTTGTCCGAGAAGTGTCAGAGAGGAACCAAAGTCTACACCATCCGTCTACAGCATTTGTACCCACATATCATACTGTTATAACTACCATTGGTGATGTCTTATACGCCTCAAGTCGCATTGTCCAAGACAGGAGAGGTCTCTAGGATCATAGTCAAGTACAGTAAGTACAATATTTCATTTCCTAATATACAGTATTGCTTTCAGATTTACCTTTAGCCTGGAGATTAGAAGATAGCTGCCTGCTGGAAGATAGCCACCTGCTGGAAGATGAGCCAGAAATTGGAAGTCAAGCCAAGATGGTCATCCTACAGGAAGTCAGGCTGCCCTCTGGAAGATGAGTCAACTGCTGGAAGATAAGCATCTAGCCACAAATGGAAACCTAGCCACCATAGGAATCCAAGTGAAGATGACCCACAAATGGAAACCCAGCCATCAATTGGAAGTCAAGCCAAGATAGTCATCCTACAGGAAGTCAGGCTGCCCTCTGGAAGATGAGTCAACTGCTGGATGATAAGCATCTAGCCACAAATGGAAACCTAGCCATCAATTGGAAGTCAAGCCAAGATGGTCATCCTACAGGAAGTCAGG